GCAGTTCTTTATAAATTCTAGATACCAATCCTTTGCCCATTATATTGTATTGAAAAAGTCTTCACCCAGTTTGTGGCTTGTTTTTCATACTGTTCCTTGATGAACAGAAGTTTTAAATTTTAACACAAATTAATTGGTCTTGTCCTTTATAGTTTATGCTCTTTGTGCCATTTAAAAAATCCATTACTGACTCAAGGATATAAAATATTTTTTATATTATTTTCTAAAAATTAAATTTTGTGTGTGTGTGTGTGTGATTTGGGTGAAAGTTTACAGAGCAAATCCACTTTAAATTTTTAAAGTTTTGCTTTGAACATTTAAGTCTTTAATTCACTGGAACCGATTTTATGTATAGAGTGATGTACGGAGCCATCTTAATTTCTTTTAATATAGAAAGCCAATTGTCCTAGTGTCATTTATTAAATAGTTGATTCTTTCCTACTGATGTGTAATGCCAGTTCTAACACAAATCAAGTTTTCCATATGCATGTGAGTTCTCTGTTCTTTCCTCTATTTGTTTATTCTTGCACCAAAACCAAACTATGCTAATTACTATGACTTTATAATAAATCTGAGGAGCTATGGTGGCACAATGCCTAAGGCACGTGACTGCTAACCAGAAGGCTGGCAGTTCAAATCCACAAGCCATTCTGTGGAAGGAAGAACGGGCAGTCTACTTCCATAAAGATTTACCACCTCGGGGATTGTAAAATGGTATAACCATTGTGGCAAATGGTATGACATTTCCTTAAAAAACTGAAAATAGAAGTACCATTTGACCCAGCAATTCCATTACTAGGAATATATCCTAAAGAGGTGAGAGAGAGCACACGAACAGACATATGTACACCTATGTTCATCACAGCACAATTCACCATAGCAAAGAGATGGAAACAACCTAAATGCCCGTCAACGGATGAGTGGATAACCAAATTATGATATATCCACACAATGGAATACTATGCCACATTAAAGAACAATGAGGAATACACGAATCATCTTGCAACGTGGATGAACCTGGAGGACATTATGCTGAGTGAAATAAGTCAATCGCAGAAGCACAAGTACTGTATGAGCCCATTACTGTAAAAAGACAGAGAAGGGTTTGCTTGGGAAAGGGAACTCACCTAGTAGGTTACCAGGATGGGGAGGGAAGGGGAGGGATTAATTTCAGGCTAGTTGGGGCCCACACGCTGACATGGGTAGGGGGTGGGATATACAGGAAGGATTTATGACCACCATAACATTGGGAAATGAGAGGACATAGCATTGTGCACATAAGAGACAGGTGACAGATGCTAATACCAATCAATGTGTCCACAATGCCACATTGCTATTAACACCAAACACTAGGCTATACAGATAAACATATAAACACCTGAGATGATCAGACGGGGGTCAGTGAACAGAAGTATACTCTGGACCAAGGATAGATTCAGCTGAGGCTAATCTTGTACAGACACCAGTGACACAAAATACCTGCAGTTCTTATAGAAACAATAGAAGACAGATACAGAGTAATCACTCACAGACATCCCAACACTATGGGAGAGAGATCCAATAGATCTACTACCTCAGGACCATAGTACTGGGGGCCACCAGATTTAACTGGCACAACAAAATACATAAAAGCATTGCTCCACATCCTACATTGGTGAGTAGTGACTGGGATCTTAAAAGCTTTCAAGCAGCCATCTAAGATGCAGCTAATGGTTTCCTAGTGTCCAAAGTGAAGAAGAATGCACACACACAAAAAAAGGGCATTTAGAAGCAATCAGCCCTAGGACACGATGGCCCTCGAGACCAGAAGAACCAGATGGTGCCCGGCTACCAATGCCAACCACTCAGGAAAGGATCAAATCTGGAGATCCTGGATAGAGTGGGAGGGAAAACGTGGAGCATAATCCAAAAACTCAATAATGACCAGAATTACTGGTCAGATTAAATCTGGTGAGACTCCCAATATTATGGCCCTAGAATACATTCTGCGCCTGGAATAAAACTCACCCCCAGGGGCGGGCTTTCAGCCCAATAGTTAATAAGATGTACACGCAGACCACTCAACCCAGGATGCTGCACCCACATACTCTATGGTAATACATCCCTTATAGCAATAGACTATGGGACACCAGAGGACCAACATTCAAACTGAGGAAATGCAGAAAAAACAGGAGTGCATAAATATGAGGGGCACAGGGGGAGGGTTGCAGGATAGGGAAGGGAGGAGACTGGGTTAGGGTTGGACATGACGAATGGGGAATGAAACTAAATGTATCCATTACGTTGAATGTAAAACAAGCTCTTATAATAATAATAATAAAAAGGTTTACCACCTCGGAAACCCAATGGGGGTTGCTATGAGTCAGAACTCACTAGATGTCAGTGGGTTTGGTTTTCGTTTTTGATCACAATAAATCTTGACGTCTGGTAGGGCAAGTCCTTTGTGGTAGCTGGGTATGTGTCAGCTTGGCTGGGCCTGGTTTTGAGTGGCTGGGCAGCTGGATGTAGTTATTCTCCATGGTAAGATTGGTAATTAACTCCATGTAGAATGTGCCATGAGCAGGTGAGTAGCTGGCTTTAGGGATGTGCTCTGCTGCCAGTATATAAGGAGAAGCTTTAGAAATGGTCTGCAGCTTTTGGCATGCTTGAACCCTGCACGTAGCCTTCGTTTAGCAGCCTGCCATGATCCTGCCAATCTTGGGACTGTCTCTGGCCTTGAACTAGTAGTCTGCCATGTTGTTTGGTAATATTGGGGCAGTGCCATTTTATTTGTTGACCTTGGGCTTGTTAGCCTCAGCAGCCAGCTGCTGCTTGAGTGAAGAGACACCTCTAGCTCATGGGCTAGGAGCAAGAGGCAGAGCTGAAGCCCAAGGCTGAGGGGCTTTCACCCAGCCCCTAGACCTTGGCACTTTGAACTTGGACTTCTAGCCTCCAAAACTGTAAAAGAATAAACCCGTTTGTTAAAGCCACCCATTTGTGGTATTTTCTGTTAATGTGGCATTAGGTAACCAAAACATCTTTAATCTTATTCTTTTTCAGGAGTCTCTTGGCTCTTCTTGTCCCTGTGTACTTGCATTTATGTTTCAGAATCACCTGAATGGCATTCTAGTTCTCTCTTGAACCCTCTCAATTATGCTTTCTTCCCACCATTCCACTGAATCTGCTATTATCAAGGTCTCCAAAGCTGGGTATAGTCAAATCCAATGGCCACTTCTTAAGTCTTCATCTTACTCGATCTCTCTTCGTAGCATTAGACACAACTGTTTATTCTTTCTTAATGAAATACTTTCTTCACTTCAGCTTCTGTAGTATCACACATTTTTGGTTTTTCTTTCACTTCATTAGCTGGTCTTTTTAGTCTCCTTTGCTAGATCCTACTCCTCTTCCCAACCACCAAATGTTAGAAACTACATCATTCCCAATCAACCCAGAACTCAATCCTTAAATGTCTGTTCTATTCAATCTATACTAATTTTATTGGGTAATTTCATCTAGATCCAGAGCTTTAAATTGTAACTCCTAAATGTCTCTCTCTAACCTAATCTCCCTTCAAACTGCAAATTCATGTACATTAATATATATCTGATATTTCCAGTTGGATGTCTGCTAGGTATTAGACATCTAATAACTATTTCAAACTTAATACACAAAACTAAACTTCTATTTGCCTTTCTGAACCTGCTCCTTCCCTTATGTTCCCATCAGTAAACAGCCTTAGTTTTCACAAATGTAAAATAGGGAATAAATAATGATATCTGTTTCTTAAGAGTATTGTAAGAATAAAATAATGTGTACATTAAGTGCTTAGCCCAATGGCTGGTACATAGTACCAAAAAAACCAAACTCACTGCCGTTGAGTCAGATCCAACTCATAGCGACCCCTCCTAGAGTTTCCAAGGCAGTATCACTATGGAAGTAGATTGCCCAATCTTCCTTCCTAGGAGTGGCTAATGGGTCTGAACTACCAGCTCTCTGGTTAGCAGTCAAATGCCTTATGCACTATGCCACCAGAGCTCCCAGTAAATGATAAGCAGCCAATAAATATTATTCACTCACTCAACAAATACTGTTATGGAATGAATTATGCCCCTCCAAAATGTGTGTTGTAAATCCTAATCTCTATGCCCATAGTTGAGAGCTCTACAAATTGGATCTGACTCGAGTGAATTTGTTTTTTGTTTTTTTTTTTTTGGTTTACTCCTACAGTTATAATCACATTTGGGAGTGGCTTGTCTTTGTTATGTTAACAAGGTAGGATCAGTGTAAGATTTTGAAATATAAAAGAGAGTAAACAACGGAGTAGGGGAGAAATGGTGGAAAACCCATGCCTAGCCACATGAAGATTGCCCAGGAGCAGAAGCTCAGAAGAGACAAGGATCTTCCTCCAGAGTCAATAAGAGAGAAAGCCTTTCCCTAGAGCTGGCACCCTGAATTTGAACTTCTAGCCTCCTAAACTGTGAGAAAATAAATATCTGTTTGTGAAAGCAACCCACTTGTGGTACTTCTGTTACAGGAACACTGGACAACCAAGACAAATGCCTATTGAGTACCTACTTATTTAATACTGTTTAAAGTATTGGAGATAAAGAACAAAATAACAAAGTCACTGCCCTCATAGAACTTACATTCTAGCTCCTTAGACAGTGGTATAAGGCATGGAAGGAGGATAAGGAGTGCTGCAGGAATGGGTACAATTTTAAACAGGATGGTCAGGAAAGGCCTCATTGAGAAAGCAACATTTGAGCATGGATCTGAAGAAGGAACCTATGTGGGTATCTGGGAGACAGTACTTCAGAAATGGAACAGAGCAAGTGCAAAGGTTCTAAAATAGAAGAGGACCTGACATATCTGAAGGTCAGCGAGGAAGCTGATTGTAAGATTTCCGAGGCACAGGCAACCTAACATGCCATTTACCTATCCAAAAGTGCTTAGCAGGGTGCCGAGCATCCTGTAAATATTTACAGCTGTGACCTTAAGTCCTTAGCTCATTTGTCTCATACCATGTGAAAACTCCTGCTCCTGAGTCAAGATTTCATTTCGCTCTTCCAAAATCTGCATCAGGGCAGCTTGGAGTTTAGGTGGTAGAATTTCATCCTCATCAGATACCTTAGGAGAAGAAATTGAAATTCCACATGAGTTTAGAGGAATAATGTCTCAATAATGAACTAGTTAAGTCCCAAAATTTCACAGTGACTTTTTATATTTTTTGGCCAAAGAATCAGTCTGACGTTCCCTTCCCCATGTTGAGCAGAGTATATGATGTTTATGGTTATAAATCTTAACCATAAATACAAAAAAAGTAAATTATATAAACTTTTCTGGCTCTTAAATAATAATACCAGCAATTTTCCTCCAAATATCTATCACCAAACAAGTCTCATACTATATAACAAATATCATGCCAAACAAATGGTGTTCCAAATGTGATGAGCTTATTTTTAAAAGGGGACACCATTTTCACCTGTGTTTCAGAGCTTATAAACCTATATATAGGTTATGTATGGAAGGTTGCTTAGAAAGAAAGGTTTTCCTAATCAGGGCTTCTAACTGGTTCAAAATCACTTAAGGAGCTGGTTAAAATGTAGATTCTGATTCAGTGTGTCTGGGATGGAAATGCAAATTCTCAGCAGAGGTTAAACTGAAGCGAACCAGTTCAAACCCGTTTTTAACTGTCTGGTCCACTTCAATATCCAGGATAAACTTCTACTTTCTTCTTCTTTTTCTTTTTTGTCTTTGGTTTTTTACCTTGCACAAATAAGGTACTTATGTCTATCTCCCCAGCCTGCATGAGACTGTAAGGCCTGAGGGCTCAACCTGTTTCTAACTCCAATTGTCTAACAGAATATGGAGAAATAATTGATATTTAATAAATGTTTGTTAAACTTGATAAAATGTGAACCCATCTGGACATGGAAGGAGGGTCACTTCTCTTGAGAAGTCATTTATTTTGTTTTCTCTTTCCTACTTTGGGAGGGTCAGCTACAAATCTAAGCCAAAATTTTCAGGTCAATCTTGTATGATTGGCCACAGTGTCAATTCAAGTATATATTGAAGCTAAAAATTATGCCTGAGTCATCTTCTGTAAGTACTTGCATGTATTTTCTGTCCAATTACTTACACACAGACCTTTATCCCCAAACATTATGTAATCATCTCATTTGTCACTTACCTCCTGTAAGAACTTGTCTGCACAGAGATCAACTATCAGCACCTATGGGATAAAGGAACCAGGCAAGTTAAACCGGCAACATTCACAGAGAAATATCTTATGCACTGATAGAACAGGAAGGGAGTTTTGATTCTTTTAAGCAGTGGGAATGTTGTAACTTTTAAAAAATTATAACCACTTAAAACTTAACACATCAACAAACAAATTCTAAGTAAAAAAAAAAAAAAAAAAAAGATGGTGTGCACATCTATAAATTAAAAGAAATACAAAAAAACATATCAACCAAATGCAATGTGTGGATTTTTATTTAGGTCCTGATTCAACAACAAAATATTAAAAATTTATGAGACTATTGGTAATTTGAACTCTGGAGTCTGCTAATATTAAGGAATTATTAAATGTTTTAGATGTGATAACAGTATTATGGTTATGTTAAAAGTGCTGTTATCTTTTAGAGTTTCACTTTATAGTATTTACAGATGAAATGATCTCAGGGATATGCTTCAAAACACTACAGAAAGAGGAACAGGTAAAGATAATGATAGGTCATAAACTGGTAAGTACTAAAGTATGATGATGGGCAAATAGGATTTATTTCACTCTTGTCTACTTTTACATATATATTTGAAATTTTCCATAATACAGTTTTTTGAAACGTTAAGCCACAGAGTAGTAGAAAGAACAGTACTTTCAATAAATGGGTGTTGGTTCAATTAGATAGCATTATTGTTGTTAGGTGCCATCGAGTGGGCTCCAACTCACAGCGACCCTGTGTACAACAGAACAAAACACCGCCCTGTCCTGCACCAGCCTCACATTCCTTGTGTGCTTGAGCCCATCATGGCAGCTACTGTGTCAATCCATCTCACTGAGGGTCGTCCCCTTTTCTGCCGAACCTCTGTTTTACCAAACATGATATCCTTCTCCAGGGAATGATCCTTTCTGACATGACCAAAGTAGGTGAGATGAACTCCAGCCATTCTCACTTCTAAGGAGCAATTCTGGCTGCACTCCTTCCAGGACAGATTTGTTCATTTTTCTGGCAGTCCACGGGATTTTCAGTATTCTTCACCAACACCACAATTCAAAGGCATCAACTCTTCTGTGATCTTCCTTATTCACTGTCCAGCTTTCACATATGAGGCGACTGAAAACAGCATGGCTTGGGTCTGGTGCACCTAGGTCCTCAATGTGACATCTTTGCTTCTTAACACTTTAAAGAGGTCTTTTGCAGCAGATTTTCCCAGTGCAATAAGATGTGATTTCCTGACTGCTGCTTCCAAGGGTGTTGACTGTGGATCCTAGTAAAATGAAGTTCCTGACAACTTCAATCTTTTATCAGTTTATTGTTTATCATTATGTTGCTTATTGGTCCAGTTAGGAGGACTGGATAGCATATATTTAAAAAAAAAAAAAAAAAAAAAAAAAAACTTGATCCCTATATCACATTATACACAAAAAGCAAGTCCTAGGGATTAAGAACTGAAAGTGAAAGGGAAAATAGTAAAGAGCCCAGGAGATAATATAGGAGAATATCTTCATGAAGATGATCTAAAGAAAAACTTAAGCAACTCACAAAAAACATGAACTATTAAAGGAAACACTGGTTTTTGACCACATTAAAATTAAGAACTTCACTGATTAAAAAACACCATTTGAAGAGTGAAAATACAAGCCACAGAGAAAGGGCCAGTGTCCAGAATATAAAAAGACCTTTTACAAATCAGTAAGAAGGTAACAATCTACTAGAAAGGTGAACAATAAATCTCACAAGATGATATTCAAATTGCCAATAAATATGTACAAAGATGCTTTATGTCCAGTTATCAAGGTATATAAATCAAGCCACAATGAGAATACCAGTACACATTCACCAGAGAACAAGTGTTGGTGAGGATGTGGGGCAAGAGAAACTCTCACAAAGTGCTGGAAGGAGTTGATACCGGCACAACGACTTTGGAAAAGAGCTTGACTTGACTTACGGAAGTTGAAGATATGCTTACACCATGACTCAGCAATTCTACTTCCAAGTAACTTAGAACTGCATACATATATATACCAAGAGTCATAGCAATAATATTCAGATCGGTATTGTTTGTAACAACTTTAAACTGGAAACAGTCCAAATGTCCACCCATTATAGAATGGAGAAGTAAGCTGTGGTACATTCACACCACAGATACTATACAGCAACAAGAATGAAAAAACTAGTGTTTTATACAGAAACATGGATGAACCTTACTGATATAATTTTGAGCCAAAGAAGCTTGACCAGAAAAATATATACAGTATGAGTTAATGTATATAAAGTTTTAAACCAGGCAAAACTGGGAGTGGAGTAGGGAAAGGAACACTGATTAGAAGGAGGCATGACAGGGGCTTCTGGAGTGCTGTAATGTTGCCATTCTATTCCAATGTTACTTTAAAAAATGCTCACTTTGAAATAATTCACTGAGCTATACATTTTATTTCAGGCACTTACCTAAATGTGTGTTATATTGGAAATAAGTTTAAGTTAACTCAAAATAATTTGTGTTTGACTTAAAAGAACCACCAGCCAACCAACCTACTCTTCAGAAATAACTCATGAATAAGCCAGTGGTTCACTATAGTAAATAAGATACAACTTTGGATTCAAGTGTATTGTAGTATTTTTCTCATTTAACAAAAAGGTGATAATATATTAATTATATTAATATTAATTACTGACAACTCCAGTACTCTTAAAGATCATGTGTTTTCATTTGTCAGTGCACCAAGCCTTTCCATACATAGAATTTTATATAGTTGTAATTCAAAGTTCAGGGAGCTCTGGTGGCATAGTGCCTAAGGCACTTGACTGCTAACCAGAAGCCTGGCAGTTCAAACCCACCAGTCACTCCTCAGAAGGAATGTTAGGCAATCTACTTCCGTAGTGATACTGCCTCGGAAACTCAAGGAGGGATCACCATGAGTTGGATCCAATTCCACAGCAGTGAGTTTGGTTTTTTTAACTCAAAGTTCAGAATAATCTATGTGTTTTTTCCTACTTATAAGCACTTTTCATATTGCTACATAGACTGGAAAATTGTAATTGTCATGGCTTATACCATTCCATCAGCTTGACATGCCATACTTCACCTTCTTTCCCCACTGTTAAATACTTTTTTCCAAGTATTTACTCTTCTACATCCTCTATCCACCACTTGTCTGTCAGTTTGCTGGACTATGATGTCTTGCATATTGCTGTAAGGCTGGAGGTTATGCCACTGGTATTTCAAATATCAGCAGGGTCACCCATGGTGGACAGGTTTCAGCAGAGCTTTCAGACTAAGGCAGACTGGAAGAAGGACAGGGCCATCCACTTTGGAAAAAATTGGCCACTGAAAACCTTACAAATAGCAGTGAAATACTGTCTGATATTGTGCTAGAAGGTAAGTGCCTCAGGTTGGAAGGCACTCTAAATATTACTGGGAAAGAGCTGCCTCCTCAAAGTAGAGTCAACCTATTGATGTGGATGGAGTAAAGCTTTTGGGACCTCCATTTGCTGATGGTGCACGACTCAAAATGGGAACAAACAGCTGCAAATCTTCACTAATAATTGGAACATGGCATGTATGAAATATGAATCTAGGAAAATTGGAAGTTGTCAAAAAGGAAATGGAACTGATAAAGAGCAATACCTTAGGGATTAGTGAACTGAAATGGACTGACTATGCCGGGAATGACAAGCTGAAGAGGAATGGTGTTGTATTCATTGTCAAAAAGAACATTTCAAGATCTATCCTGAAGTACAACGCTGTCAGCGATAGGTTAATATCCATATGCCTGCAAGGAAGACCAGTTAATACTACTTAATTCAAATTTATCCATCAACCACTAAATTCAAAGATGAAGAAACTAAAGATTTTACCAACTTCTCCAGTCTAAAATTGACCAAACATGCAATCAAGATGTATTGGTTATTACTGGTGATTAGAATGCAAAAGTTGGAAACATGGAAGAAGCACCAGGGGTTGGAAAATATGGCCTCAGTGACAGAAATGACACTGGAGATTGCATGAAAGAATTCTGCAACATAAACAACTCATTCATTGCAAATACCCTTTTTCAAAAATACAAATGACAATTATACATGTGGACTTCACCAGATGGAATATACAGGAATCAAACTGACTATATCTGTGGCAAGAGGTGAAGGAGAAGCTCAGTATCATCAAGCAAAACAAGGCCAGGAACTGACTGTGGAACAGACCATCAATTGCTCATGTGCAAGTTCAAGTTGAAACAGAAGAAAATTAAAACAAGTCTATGAGAACCAAAATAAATCTTGATTATATCCCATCTGAATTTAGAGATCATCTGAAGAACAGATTTGATGCACTGAACAACAATGACTGAAGATGAGATGAGTTGTGGCATGATATCAAGAGCATCATGCGTGAAGAATGCAATAGGTCATTAAAAAGACAGGAAAGAAGAAAAGACAAAAATGGATGTCAGAAGAGACTCTGAAAACTTGCTCTTAAATGGAAAGTAGCTCAAGTGAATGGAAGAAATGATGAAATCAAAGAGCTAAACATAAGATTTCAAAGGGTGGCTTGAGAAATCAAGTATTAGAATGAAATGTGCAAAGACCTGGAGTTAGAAAACCAAAAGGGAAGAACATGATCAGTATTTCTCAAGCTGAAAGAACTGAAAAAAAATTCAAGTCTCAAGCTGCAATATTGAAGGATTCTATGGGCAAAATACTGAATGCAGAAAGCATCAAAAGAAGATGGAAGGAATACACAGAGTCACTGTACCAAAAAGAACTGGTTAATGTTCATCTATTTTAGGAGGCAGCATATGATTAAGAACCAATGGTAATGAAGGAAGAAGTCCAAGCTGCCACTGAAGGAACTGGTAAAAAATAAGCCTCCAGGAATTGACAGAACACCCACTGAGATGTTTCAACAAACAGATGCAGCTCTGGAGGTGCTTATTTGCTATGCCAGAAAATTTGGAAAACAGCTACCTGGCCAACACCTTGCCAACTGACTGGAAGAGATCTATATTTGTGCCTGTTCCAAAGAAAGGTGATTCAACAGGATGTGGAAATTATCAAATACTATCGTTAATATCACATGAAAATAAAATTCTGCTGAAGAAAATTCAAAAATGGTTGCAGCAGTATATTGACGGGGAACTTCGAGAAGTTCAGGCTGGATTCAGAAGAGGACACGGAATGAGGGATATCAATACTGATGTCAGAAGGATCTTGGCTGGAAGCAAAGAATACCAGAAAGATGTTTAGCTGTGTTTTATTGACTATGCAAAGGCATTCAACTGTCTGGATCTAAAAAGTTATGGATAACATTATGAAGAATCAAATTCCAGATCACTTAATTGTGCTAATGAGGAACTTGCACATAGACCAAGAGACTGTCATTCAAACAGAACAAGGGGATACTGCATGGTTTAAAATCAGGAAGGGTGTGTGTCAGGGTTGTATCCTTTCACCATACTTATTCTATCTGTATGCTGAGCAAATAATCTGAGAGGCTTGACTATGTGAAGAACATAGCAACAGGATTGGAGGAAGACTCATTAACAACCTGTGATAAGCAAACAACAGAACCTTGCTTACTGAAAGTGAAGATGACTTGAAGCACTTACTGATGAAGATCAAAGACTACAGTCTCCAGGATGGATTACACCTCAACATAAAGAAAATGGAAATCTTCACAACTGGACCAATAAGCAACATTATGATAAATGGAGAAAAGACTGACATTGCCAGGGATTTCATTTCACTTAGATCCATAATCAACACCCCTGGAAGCAGCAGTCAAGAAATCAGACATCATATTCCACTGGGCAAATCTGCCTCTTTAAAGTGTTAAGGACCAAAAATGTAACTTTGAAGACTAAGGTGCACCTGACTCAAGCCATGGTATCTTCAATTGCCTCATATGAAAAAAACAAAAACAAACTCACTGCTGTCAAGTCAATCCCTGACTCATAGTGATCCCTCCTTCGTTTAAAGCTGGACAATGAATAAGAAAGACCCAAGAAGAGCTGATGCCTTTGATGGGACCATAAAATTATACAACCACTGTGGAAATCAGTATGGCGATTCTTTAAAAAGTTGGAAATAGAAATACCATTTGATTGAGCAATCCCATTACTAGGTATATATCCTAAAAAAGTGAGAGCCAGGACATGATTAAATATATGCACACCTGCATTCATCACAGCACTATTCAAAAAGAGATGGAAACACCATAAATGCCCATCAACTGAGGAATGGATAACCAAACTGTGGTACATACACACAGTAGAATACTATGCAACACTAAAGAATAATGTAGAATCCTTGAAACACTGCATAATGTAGATGAACTTGGAGGACATTATGCTGAGTGAAATAAGTCAATTACAGAAAGACAAATACTGTATTATTCCACTATGGTAAAAAGTCAAGGAACAGTTTATAAATGGAAGGGAACTTTCTTTGTTGGTTACCAGGGATTGGAGAGGAGGGAAAATTGCTAGAGAGGTTAAAAAATCAAAGAAGAGTTGATGCATTTGAATTGTGGTATTGGCGAAGAATGATGAAAATCCCATAGACTACCAGAAGAATGAACACAACTGTCCTGGAAGAAGTGCAGCTGGAATGCTCCTTAGAAGCAGGATTGGCCAGACTTTTTCTCACCTACTTTGGTCATGCTGTTAGAAGGGACCAGTCCCTGGAGAAGGGTATCATGCTTGGTAAAGTAGAGGTTCAGGGAAAAAGGAGAAGACCTTCAATGAGATGGACTGACACAGTGACTGCAACAACGGGTTCAAGCACAGCCAGGATTGTGAAGATGGCACAGGTCTGGGCAGCATTTCAATCTGTTGTTCATGGGGTCACTATGATTTGGAGCCGACTCAACAGGACCTAACAACAACAATAACATATCCTCTATATCCTCATGCATAAAGCTTTATCATTCTTTTATACCATTTTCTTGGGACATACCTCCAAGAGTAAAAATAATAGGTCAAAGGACATTTGTTGAGAGTCCAGTGTATGCCAGAAGGAGCTCTGGTGGTGTAGTGCCTAAGGCAGTTGATACCTAACCAGAAGGCTGGCAGTTCAAACCCACCAGCCACTCCTTGGAAGGAAGACTGGGCAATCTACTTCCATAGAGATACCGCCTTGGAAATCCAAGGAGGGGTCGCTATGATTTGGAGTCAACTCAACGTCAAAGTGTTTGGTTTTTTTGGTAATGTGTGCCAGCTATGATACCAGGTGCTTTACTGCTAATCATTATGAAAACTTGTAAGACAGTTATGATTACAACCATCACTATATAACTGATAAACCACTGAGGATCATGGCCTAGACACTGTGACATGTAACAACCATCACAGCCATTGTTATGCTCTTCTTTCACTTTGGTGTTCATCACTGCCAGAGGTACATCGTTAATGCACAAAACAGATATATTTTTTCCTCTTGCTTATAGGAAATGAATTGCCAACTTGCTTTCTTCTTTTACTACACCCTTGCCAGGACTAAATATTTGTATTATTTTTAATATGTATAAATAGCTAAAAATGGCAACTCATTGTTATTTTAACCCTTTCTTTTATAACAAAATGCTGAACATTTCCCTTCTTGATTGATTTTTGTTGCACCCTTTTGAGAAATAATTGTTTCAATTATTCCATACATACTATGCTGTGAAGTACCATTTTTCTCATCTTACCTCTTCAATGGGTAGGTCCTGAAGCTGTGGTAAGGAGCAAGACAGGATTCCAATTAGAAATGGAGTAGGTGAGCACACAATATCAATCATGGATGCTGGCAGGACTGGGATGTAGGTATGCTGCCATGTGAATGGATACAGTGTAGCTACCACGGCATGACCACATTTTGACAAGGTACTAGCCAGAAGAGAAAGAGAGTCACATACAGGGGAACACACAGAAGGCGTTTCAGATATTTTATTTTTAAAAATTATAAATCAATACCTGTTAATGATCACAGATTAACAACTCTGTGATTACTCATTAATTTTTAACATTCTATTTTTTGTAACTTAATATACTAAAAATGTTTAATCTCAATCCAGCTCTTTGCCATAATTTATCATGTTAAAAATCAGTGTATACTTAGAAAACCGGTATCAGTTTTCAACAGCAGTTTAAGCAAAACGCATTTTGAAAAGTAAATTTATTGTGCCTCAAAAAACTCATTGTTATAACCTAATGCAAATGATTTTCACATTATTTACTACTTGGAATTATCCATGTAACTATTCTACTTCATAGGTAATTGAGAGACTGATCCTACATTTTTAAAAACATACCCAAAGAACAAGTAAAATACCAGTGTGAAATGAAAACATTCTTATTTCTCACCTTAGGCTGTTGGCAACAAAGATTACTCTCCGCTCCAAAAGTAGAGAGGCACAGACCCGGATGAGATGACACACACTTAGGCACTTAAAGAGACATTCAAAATCAACATGTTCCAGTCGGGAATCCAGTGGTCGACAGAGTTCAACTGACTGAAATGCAAGAATTTACATCAGGGGATGTTAAAAAGTATCTCATGACAGCACTAATGGATCTTGTCATTCTTTTACGAGATAGCTAAAAGAAATAGGGTCTGCTACAAAGAGTTTACAAAGCTGCTTACTTGAAACCCCAAACCTAATACTTTATTTCTCTGCTATAAATTTCTGTTTAAATCTTTATTCTCATCTGTCAATGGCACGTATAATCTCCATTTATCACTCTAAAATCATCACTACAAGGGTACCAAAACTATGTAAACTAGAAAACTATTGGTTCCTGGGTCTGGGATCAACTAACTCACAGACAAATTGGGCATTTCTGCAGTGCTCTGTGGGATTAAATCATATTATTCAGTTTACAGAAAAGGAAACATGTGGTAAAGCTTCTGGAAACTCTGCCTTATTAGTATGACTTTATGGAATCTACCAAACCTTCTTTGAAATTTTTCAAAATCCTCTAACTTACCCCATCTCCAGCTCCAGGGAGATAGCTCTTAACCGTGATGGTGCGTCCAGGTGCTGGGAAAGGTGCTTCCATGACACTTCTCATGAATGGGTGAACCAGGGCTGGAGACATTTCTCTTCTCTTCTCTACTTCATCCAGAATCTACACGAATAAAATGTTATTTTATTATGGACTCAGTTCAAAAATATATGAATTCTATTAAAGCCAAAAGGGGGAAGACCCTCAACAAGATGGACTGACAGTGGCTACAACGATGGGCTCAAACACAGCAACAACTGTGAGGATGACACAGCACTGCGCAGTACTCCCTTGTGCACAGGGTTGCTCTGAGTTGGAACCAACTTGATGGCACCTAACAACAACAATGTCCTGATGCACAGACTCGCAGATAATACCAATGGAATTTAAGACATATTAACTTCTGCAACCAATAGACATTCATTAAAGACATCACGTCTCTTGGGGGTATCGTAGTTTCCAAGAAAAGTTTCTAATACGTTATCATGTTTTTTTTAGGAGAGAAGCCCCTTCTCATTTCTGTCAGGACTTGAGACTTTAGGCAGGGGCACTGACAATGCTATATTGCAATTTAAGGTCTGGGAAAGAAAGGAGAAAAGATAGAGCTTAAGGTTATGTCCTTCAAACTGAGTTTTAGCAAACAAAAAAGAGGATGACATTGCAACAGCAGCTAGATTAGACATCTAAATTTACACCTTCATGCCTGTTGTTCCTAATCTACTAATGGGAAATTTCTTCTAAGGTCTATACCACTTGACGTTGAATGACACAAGTGGTTTGCAACTGGCTGCTAACCTAAAGGCTGTCAGTTTGAACCCACCCAGTAGCTCTGTGGCAGAAAGCTCTGGTGAACTGCTTCTATAAAGATTTCAGCTAAGAAAACCCTATAGGGTAATTCTACTCTTCACACATGGGATACGAGTCAGAATTGACCAGACAGCACGGTGAGTTTGGTTTCGGTTGTTAGTGAAGTCATTAGAAATAAAAACTTTTTCAGAGCTCATTGTTCTCAGAGTCCATTTTTCACTCACCTTTGAAAAAAGGTTGAAGCAGCCTAGGCGACTAACCATGCAGTATACCTCGGGAAGTCGCTTTCCTTTGCCTTCTGGCTAAAGCAAAAAACAAAACAAAGATCAAGCAACACAAGTTTTAGTGAAGACTAACAAATATCTAATTTGGACTTTTAATATTCTTTTACGTACAGAGCAGGAACTAAGGCTCTAAGAACTCCCTGAACTCTCTCGCTCACTGAACTCAGACAGAAACGATGAGGAGTGCTAAAAACCATACAGGTAGTTCCCACTTATGATGTATTCAAGTTACCACAAGCTATATTTATGACCATCTATTTGTGTGTGTGTGTGTGTGCATCTTATCATTAGTAATATGTACTACATACAATGTGGCAGCATGAAATTTGCTGATGGAAAATTGGGCAATCTACTTCTGTAGAGATACTGCCTCAGAAACCCAAGAAGGGGTCACTATGAGTCTGAACAGACTCCACGGCAGTGAGTTTTTTTAAATCATTCTCAGATGTTCACTTATAGATGTTTATATGTGATGTGTCTAACCCCCCAAGACACATGAAGGTCAGATTTATAAAGATACTAACAGGAAGAAAAAATGAAAACTTAAAAAACAAAACACCACAGTGGTATTCAACTTACATCAGAACTGACTATGACAGAGCTGTCAGAATGGAACCCTGTTGTAAGTCAGGGACTACCTGTAGTATATTCCAGGTTTAGTGGAATAGTGGAGGAGTCTATGCAAGAAGAAAGCCTCAATATGAGTAACTCAGAACTCCTTGGATTGGACTGTACCCCATTCCTCAAATCTACCCAGACTGATACTTAGCCACCATATCAGCAGTTTACTTCTCCATTACAAAGTTAATACATAAATAAATAAAATCATACCTTTATATTTTGAAGCACTGCATGACTAAGTCCTTCCTCACTCTCGCTGTTTACAGTTAACATTGCTTCTTTAATACACAGAAGTGTAGCCCTCAAATTCATCTAGATAGTATTTTTGAAGTTACTATTCTGACCCTACTGTTTCTTGACAACCCTGCTGGTAGCATAAGTTTGGTCCTTACCAAGAGCTTCTTACAGTAACCAAACCACCGGCTCCCATCTTCACCAGTCAAGACAAAGGAGAAAGTTTCACTGGGAAAAAAAAAAAAAGAAGATTAAGTTATTTTGGGACCCAAACAACCACTTATGACATTCCTCATTGAAAAAAAACATTGAAAATTAAGGTCTGGCAAACAGTTATTTTAGGATCAAAGAGAGAACATTAATATTACACTTCTTATGATTCACATTCATCCTCAGGGAGAATGTCCAGAATATGGTGCCATGGATCGGAGTGAGAGAATAGGTGTTGGATGAGTTGTTGATTCCATTGCCTCCCTTTAACTTTCTTAATTATTTACTTTAGCTGTTAATTGGGTCTATTCTTTTCTTGAATGTTCAATTTGGTCAAACATGTGGGGAAGCTATAAAGGGTTTTGATAAGCCATTTTTCCCTTCCAAATTCTTATATTTTGTTCTGAGAGACCACATGGAACAGTGATAGGCAAAGCATTAATGTATAAAAATCAATGTTGTTGTTATGTGCTGTCGAGTCGGACCCAACTCACAGTGACCCCTCCTTGGGTTTCTAAGGCAGTATCACTACGGAAGTAGATTGCCCCATCTTCCTTCCGAGGAGTGGCTGGTGGGTTTGAACTGCCAACCTTCTGGTTAGCAGTCAAGTGCCTTAGACACTATGCTACCAGAGCTCCCAAAAATCAATAGGAAAAATACAACTCCTCATTAGAAACATGGGCAAAAGGCATGCATAAATAATTTACAAAAAGATCTACAAGATGTCTGAGAAACAAACTCAATAATTAGAGAAATAAAAATTAAAACAATGCATGTTTGTCTATATATTGCCAAAAATATGGACTGGAAGAAAATATGCCAAAATAGGTACAGTGATTATCTCTGTGTATTAAGATTGCCCATAATTTCTAATTTCTACTTTTTACTCTTCTGCATTGTCCAAATATTCTAGAACAAACATATATAGCTACTAGTTAGGAAAAAAAGCCAACCGTAGAGCAGCCAGGTCAATGTGAAAGAAGCTGCTTATGAGGGTGACATAAGTGGAACTGACAACATAAGAGCTTCAGGATTGATGGCTAAGAGATGAACAAGGCAATCCGGCTAAACAGGATATGAGATAGCAGTTAGTCTGGAAGCAACATGATGTTGAAGGGCAGAGCTACTTAGGCAACAGCTGAGGCTGTCATCCAGCAGGTCATCAGCATGGGATATGGTTCACATCAAGCTTTTCAGGATCATCAAAAATTACAATTTTGAACAAAGCAATTATCTATATACAAACAGGATTCAGAGATGATGAGGGTTTAATCATTAAAAAATGCTAATTTTCTCTAGATACTTGGGGAAAATGCTTTAACCGTTTCCCTTCTCAATATACCAAGCAAAATTTACTCTTCTCTCTCTACACCTCCCAAACTGGAGCCTCCTTTCATACAAGTTTTACAGGAGGCCACGCAGTCTAGGCTGTGACTCCTTCTATAAACCTGAAAAGGAAACAAGAAGCAGACAGTGCTCTGTTTTACTACTGTTTCCAGGTAAAGTCCCAAAGTCCACATTGTTTTTTTTTTTCCTTTTCTGTCCACTTACTATTTTTCCTATAGAACAAATTGAAGAAACTCTCAAACTTGCTTTCCCTGACACTGAAATTATTGTTTTTCTTTTTTGAGCCCCACAAAGGAAATGTTCTAAATCTGTTTCTTCCTTTCCTCCCACTGCATCCTTGACCTGCCACAGGGATTCACTGCTGGCTCCACCCATTTTCTATGTTTGCAGTTTCAACAAACAGAAATCAGATAAAGTAGCCCATTTACCTCTTGAGTTCTGAGGTTGGCATCCAGTCCTTAGAATCAGGAAAACAAAATTTTGGGATAACTTTGAGCCTCTCTTCAGTATCTTTGGATTGCTTAAAACCATGCTCACCCTGAAAAAGAGAATACTACTGGTGACTATTACTATGTAAGTAGAGAATAGAAATAAAAAACTCAGCTTGGTCTCAGGAACAGTGGTCTGGGATAAGCCCGAATAGCCATCTCAACATGGTTTGGCACTGCTTAACAAAATAAGAAGGTCAGGGCCGGTACCACTGAAGATGCACTGAGAACAGAGTTACTAAGAATGAAAAAATCCTATTTTTTATATAGAAGTGGTACTTGTGGAGATCCTACAACCTGGCATAACAGAGATGACTAGAAATACTTGCTTATCCAGATGTAGAATCTTAATTTAAAATTTGTATGCTAGTGGGAGAGTAGTATTTTCATGAATCATGGGACAAAAAAATAAATCCAAATCCATTTCACAATATACTGACAGCAAAAACCTAGTCAGCTCAAGGCACTCTCTGATCAATAACCAAAGATGCTTTGAAAGGCAGATAAATGTGATTTAGAAAAGACACTATTTTTAGAGTCCATTCCATATATAATCATTTCCCCATGTATATAACCTTTTCTACCTAAAGGCATGTGATTGCCTATAAAATTTTAGCAGGAAAGACCCTTTCGTAGAAGTCCAGTATTGTATTTTAAAAGATGGTTTAAGTTTAGTTAAGCCAAAAGTATGTGTTGCTGTTGTTGTTAGGTGCCGTTGAGTCGGCTCCAACTCATAGCGACCCTATGTACAACAGAACAAAACACTGCTTGGTCCTGTGCCAGCCTCACAATCCTTGCTACACCTGAGCCTATCGTTGCAGCCAGTGTGTCAATCCATCTTGTTGAGGGCCTTCCCCTTTACCAAATAAAAGTGGAGGCGGGATCCTCCACTTTACCAAGCATGACATCCTTCTCCAAGGAATGGTCCCTTCTGACAACATGACCAAAGTAGGTGAGACAAAGTCTGGTCATTTTCGCTTCCAGTGAGCATTCTGGCTGCACTTCTTCTAGGGCAGATTTGTTAGTTCTTTTGGCAGTCCATGGTGGTTTAAATCCACCAGCCACTCCTCAGAAGGAAGTTTGGGGAATCTACTTCTGTAGTGATGCCACCTCGGAAACCCAAGGATGGGTTGCTATGAGTCAGATCCGACTCGACAGCAGTGAGTTAGGTTAGGTTAGGTACTTTCAGTATTCTTTGCCAACACCACAACTCAAAACCATCAGCGCTTCTTCGGTCTTCCTTATTTATTATGCAGCTTTCACATGCATATAAGGTGATTAACGATACCATGGCTTGGGTTAGGCACATCTTAGATTTCCAAGAGACATCTTTGCTCTTCAGCACTTTAAGAGGTCTTTTGCAGTAAATTTGCCCAGTGCAATACGTCATCTGATGTCTTGACTGCTGCCTTCACCAGTGTTGATTGTGGAACCAAGTAATATGGAATTTTTGACAACTTCAATCTTTTTTCCATTTATTGTGATGCTGCTTATTGGCCCAGTTGCGAGGATTTTCATTTCCTATATGTTGAGATGTAATCCATGCGGCAGACTGTACTCTTTAATCCTCACCAGTAAGTGCTTCAAATCATGCACTTTCAGCAAGCAAAGTTGTGTCATTGTATATTGCAGGTTGTTAATGAGTCTTCCTCCAATCCTGATGCTGCCTTCTTCTTAATATAGTCCAGCTTCTTGGATTATTTGCTCAGCATACAGATTGAATTAGTATGGTGAAAGGATACAACCCTGATGTATTCCCTTCCTCATTTTAAACCATGCAGTATCCTCTTGTTCTGTTCAATCAACAGCCTCCTGGTCTATGGACAGGTTCCTCATGAGTACAATTAAGTGTTTTGGACTTCCCATTCTTCTCAATGTTATCCATAATTTGTTACGATCCACACAATCGAATGCTTTTGCATAGTCAATGCGGTAGTTAACGTTGTATGTCAACTTGGCTGGGCCTGGTTGAGTGCCTGGGCAGCTGGATGTAGTTATTCTCCATGGTGAGATTGGTAATTAACTCCATGATGGAATTTCCTGGAGCAGCTGAGTAGCCGCTTTAGGGATGTGGCCTAATTCTAACATGTAAGAAGCAACTTTGAGGAAGGTCTCCAGCTGATAGCACACTTGAACCTTACATGTAGTTGAAGTGTTGTTCAGCAGCCTGTCATGTTGTCTTGCTGATCATAGGACTTTCAATGGACTTGAATTAATGATATGCCATGTGGTTTCATAATATCGGGATTGTGCCTTTTCACTTGTTGACCCTGGGTTTGTCAGGCTCAGCAGCTAGCAGCTGCCTGAGTGAAGAGATGCCTCTAGCTTCAGTGGGCCAGGAGCAAGAGGGAGAGCTAAATCCCAAGGTTGAGGGGCTTTCAACCAGCCCTTAGAGCCTAGCACCTGGAATTCGGACTTTTAACCTCCAAAATTATAAAAGGATAAACTCCTGTTTGTTCAAGCCATCCCATTTGTGGTATTTCTGTTGGAGCAGCACTAGGTAACCAACACAGTCAATAAAACACAAGTAAACATTGTTCTGGCATTCTTTACTTTCAGCCAAGATCCATCTGACATCAGCAATGATATCTCTCATTCCATATGCTCTTCTGAATCCAGGTTGACATTTCTGGAAGTTCTCTGTCAATATACTACTGCAACTGTTTTTGAATTATCTTCAGTAAGATTTTACTTGCATGCAATATTAATGATATTGTTTGATAATTACCACATTCTGGAGGATCATCTTTCTTTGGAATGGGTACAAATATGGACCCCTTCCGGCAGTTGGCCAGGTGGCTGTCTTCCAAATTTCTTGGCACAGACAAGTGAGTGCCTCCAGTGTGGCATCCATTTGTTGAAACATTTCAATGGGTATTCTGTCAATTACTGAAGCCTTGTTCTTCACCAATTTCTTCAGTGTAGCTTCAACTTCTTCCTTCAATAGCATTGGTTCTTGATAATATGCCACCTCCTGAAATGGATGAACACTGACCAATTCTTTTTGATACAGTGACTCTGTGTATTGCTTCCATCTTATATATATATATATACACATACATACACACACACATATATACGTTTCCTGCATCATTCACTATTTTGCCCATAGAATCTTTCAGTATTGCAATTTGAGGCTTGAATTTTTTCTTCAGTTCTTTCAGCTTGAGAAATGCCAAGCGTGTTCTTCCTTTTTAGTTTTCTAACTCCAGATCTTTGCATGTTTCATTATAATAATTGACTGTTTTCTCAGGCTGCTCTTCGAAATCTTCTGTTCAGCTCTTTTATCTTGTTTATTCTATTCACTTTAGCTACTCTCTGTTCAAGGGCAAGTTTCAGTGTCTCTTCTGACATCCACTTTGGTTATTTTTTTCCTTTCCTGTCTCTTAAGTGACCTTTTGCTTTCTTCATGGATGATGTTCTTGCTGTCATCCCACAATTCCTCTGGTTTTTGGTCACTGGTGTTCAATGCATCAAATCTATTCTTCAGATGATCTCTAAATTCAGGAGGGATATAATCAAGGTCATATTTTGGCTCTTGTGGACTTGTTTTAATTGTCTTCAGCTTCAACTTGAACTTGCATATGAGCAGTTGATGGTCTGTACCACAGTCAGCTCCTGGTCTTCTTTTGGCTAAAAATATTGAGCATCTCCATCTCCTCTTTCCACTAAGTAACTAACTAACTCTAACTAACTCACTGTTGTTGAGTCAATTCAACTCATAGCATCCCCTCCTTGGGTTTCCAAGGCAGTATCTCTATGAAAGTAGATTGCCCAATCTTTCTTCCAAGGAGTGGCTGGTGGGTTTGAACCACCAGCCTTCTGGTTAGCAGTTAGGCACTATGCCACCAGAGCTCCCACCTCTTTTCACAGATGTAGTCAATCTGATTCCTGTGTACTCCACCTGGTGAAGTCTACGTGTATAGCTGCTATTTATATTTTGAAAAAAGGTATTTGCAATGAATACGCTGTTGGTCTTAACAAAATCCTCTCATGCGATCTGCAGTGTTATTTCTATCACCAAGGCCATATTTTCCAACTACCAGTGATTCTTCTTTGTTTCCAACTTTTGCATTCCAATCACCAGTGATAATCAACACATCTTGATTTCATGTTCGGTCAATTTCAAACTGCAGAACTTAGTAAAAATCTTCAATTTCTTCATCTTTACCTTTGGTGGTTGGTGTGTAAGTTTGAATAATAGTAGTATTAACTGGTCTTCCTTGTAGGTGTATGGATATTATCCTATCATTGACAGCACTGTACTTCAGGATAGATCTTGAAACATTCTTTGTGACAATGAAAGCCATTCTTCTTCAGTTTGTCATTCCCAGCATAGTAGATCATATGGTTGTCTGATTCAAAATGGCCAAAACCAGTTCATTTCAGCTCACCAGCCACTCCTCAGAAGGAAGGTTGGGCAATCTATCTCCACAGTGATACTGCCTCAGAAACCCAAGGAGGGGTCGCTATGAGTCGGGTCCGACTTGACGGTACATAACAACAACAACAATGCCTAGGATATTGATCTTCATGTGTTCCATTTCATTTTTGACAACTTCCAATTTTCCTAGATTTATACTTCGTACATTCCACATTCCAATTATTAATGGATGTTTGCAGCTATTTCTTCTCATCATGAGAAGTGCCACATCAGCAAATGGAGGTCATGAAAGCTTTACTCCATCCACATCATTAAGGTCAGCTCTACTCTGAGGAGGCAGCTCTTTCCCAGTTGTATTTTGAGTGCCTTCTGGCCTGAGGGGCTCACCTCCCAGCACTATATAGGACAATGTTTAAGGGCTATTTATAAATTTTTCCAGTAATATATCAGACAGTGTGTCACTGCTATTCATAAAGTTTTCACCAGCCAATTCTTTGAGAAATGGATGGCCCCTTCCTTCTTCCGAGTCTATCTTAGTCTGGAAGCTCTGCTGAAACCTGTCCACCATGGGTGAGCCTGCTGGTATTTGAAATATCAGTGGCATAGCCTCCAGGCTCACAGCAACATGCAAGCCACCACAGTATGACACACTGACAGACAAGCAGT